GTTTGTTTGTGTGAGAAATACTCCAGATCCTACAGTCCTAGCAAGTATCATGTGGACACTGACATCTGGTCAGCACATACCTCTAGCATGTGAGAAACTCTGAATCAGAACCACCTGATTCTGCAAACAGATTCAGCAACAGGATTCCAAACTGTGTGCCTAACATTAGGAAGATGGCTCAAACGTAAGAGTCAGTACTCACAAACCCAATCTGAAGGACCACAAAGAGTTATGATTAACGGTTGACTTGACCTATGAAGGCCATACTGGGGTTTGGGGGGCAGCAACTGAAATCTAATCTTACCAATAACCACCACCCACTGGTATACCAGGCATCTGGAAGCCCAGCAAAGAATTCATGAGAGGTCAAGGTTATCAGGGCCAAGACAATGGAAACTTACTGAGACAACCAACCAAATATGTAAATTATGAGCATGGAAATCCATAGAAAATATTTTCAATATAATCAGTGCACAAAAGCTCCTGAATTTAGGGGAAAAGGTTGAGATAAGGAGGCAAATGGAACACCAAATACTTAGGCAGGATCATAAAAAAAATATAAATTCCTAACATTGTATTATTAAAAATATACAAAATTTAAAAAAAATGTATTGGAAGCTCCTAGAAAGAGAAAGTCACATATAAAGACTTAATGAAAATAGCTGATCTCTCAGCAGAAACTTTAAAAGCTTTAAGGGGTAGTTCTCTGTAGTTCTTCACTGTTTAATCTGCCTCTCTGGGTTCTAACTCCCAAGTACAATTTTTACTTTTCCATTTTCTCTACTTTCTTTGGATTCCCCCAACTTATACAGTTACTTCAGATAAGCTAAACCTACTTGATATTCTGAGTTCTAACTCAAAAAACTCTTTTTCCTTTTCCCTCTGTTTTTTCTGGAACCTGACCAGAATTCAAAGTAGGCTTGCCATGCTTTCTCTCGTTTTCTCAAGAATTCCCTCACACAGTAATGGAGCTATCTGCTGCCCACCATTGTTGAAGGCTCCTGTTTTTTTTGGACTCAAAAAGATGTGACTAGCTCTTTCCCCTCATCTCCCTCGCTCTAGCAGCTGTCAAGATTACTGCTTAGCTTCTCATTGTTTTTCTGTAACAGAATGTCCTTGAGCTTCCATCTCAGGTAACTTTAAAATTATCTTGTCAAGAAGACTAACTCACAAAAGGAACCCTGTGGGGCAAGTGGAACAGTATCACCAGATAAAAACTGGGAAGTTTGAGCAGATTCAGAAATTCCGGTTAATTCTCATATCTGAGAATGGTAGGCGTTTTATCTACTCCCAACCCAGGTCCTGTGCTCCCCAGTTCCTGTCCTGGAGCACGTGATCATGGTACCCCACATGAAGATTGTGGGAGCTAGTCACATAGCACAAAGAGTTCTTTATACTAATAGGGTTTAGCCAATAAGCTTCCTTTCTGGGACATTCTTTCCTACAAAAAGTATTTAATCTCTGGTCCACCCAGAGTAAATCATATGCACCCATTTTCACGATGAACGATGAATAAACTGTACAAGCAAGGACTAAGAACTGCTGTGGAGTGAAGCCTTCATCATACAGAGCTCTGTCACCTAAGTCTCCCACAGAAGGCTCCTCTGCCCTCTAGACATGGACACTCACCCCTAATTTAAGCTAGAGTTCCCCTTCCCCCTGGTCCCATGCAGCTCCATGAGGTTCCCAGCAGTGAATGGACACACAGGAGTTTGGGAACCCATCTCCTTGGCCTCAGCCGGCACTTCTCACGTGGGCTGGGGCTTCCATCTTTGGCTGTGTTCTGCCACCCCTATCCCCCTTTGACAGTGAGATGAGGATGGAAACATAGCCTACCGCCCCATTTCGTCTAAGTGAAGTTCACACACCCCAGCGAACCACAGAACCCTAAATATCTTGTAGCACGTTGATAAAAACAAAGGCAAGAGCAGTTCTTTGGAGGAACTAGTGCTAGGACTCAAGTATGACTGAGCTGTGCTCCAGATAGCTGAAATCTCTTCTGGAAGATCTGATTTCCATGCTTCATCTTTCTCTCTTGTCCACCAGGTCTATAAGCATTTGCTTTGCCACTCTGCCTCTAGAGGGGACCAGGAAATGATCTCTGGGTTGTTTTCATTCCAGGTGCTCTCCCGCTAAGGCCAGACATACACTAAGGCCAGACATAGGAGTACACGTGCAATTCCTTTCTTTCTTGTCACTGCATCAGGTGTATGGTGGGGGAGCTTTGATGGCCATCTCCTGGAATGTAAATGGGAAGAAGCTCAACTTCCTCTCTCTTCTGAATTCTTTCTTCTTCTCCTTTAAATTGAGAAGGAACGTTATCAAAGAAAGCAGGCAGTAGAGTTGAGTTCATGGGCCTCTTCCCAATGTATACAGCACACTATCACTATTTGAGTGCACAATTCCAAATTTTTGGGGAAATAGATTTTCCAGTGTAAACAATGTGCAAGGCTGCTGAGGCTTGAAATCTTGTGTCTCCCAAAAATGATACCAAGAAAACTAGATATTTGCATATAGAGGAGTAACAGAACCTCACCTTTCACCCTACACAAAACTCAACTCCAATGAATCAAGAACATCAGCATTAAGACCTGAAACTCTGAATATGCCAGAGGAAAGTAGGGTACATACTTCAAGATTTATGAACTTCATGTACAACATAGGAAAGTACGAATGAAGAAGCAACCTAAAGAATGAAAGGGAAACTTCATGTGACAGATCATGACTATCCAAAAAATAGCAAGAACATAATTTAAATGGGCTATGGAATCTAACAGAGTTCTCAAAAGAAATAAAAATGACTAAACGCATTTAAAGTGTTCAAGATCCTCAGATATCAGGAAAATGTAAACCAAAACTACTTTAAAATTCTACCTTACTCCTGTCAAAATAGCTATCATCAATAAAAGAATGACAACAAATGCTAAGAGAATCCTTATTCGCTGTGGGGGCAGTGGTAATGTAGTTGTTATACAAATCAGCTGTATACAAACCAGCTTTCTCAGAAGAGAATTTATTTCTGCTACTATAAGTCTAACCAAAAGCCCAATGCTGGGGCTATCATAGGCCTCAAGTGGCCTCCACTGTCCTTCTAAATGGACATGTTGTAAAACTGCCTTCTAAATCAGTATGTACTATTCTCAGCCTTGGTGAGAGAATCTTCCACTTGCAGTGGAAAGTGCTCAGAATAAGAGGCTATTGACTACTCACTGCTAAATGAGTCATCTATAGCATTCCCCTCCTAAGGTCCAAGAAACATCATGATAAAGGGTTGGATATAATGTAAAACCAAGAGTGTTGTGTAGTCTGAAGAGTTTTGGTGGCTTGAACTGGAACGGATCCCATATTTGACTGCTTGGTCCCCAGTTGGCAGAACTATTTTGGAAGATTTAGTTACAGGCCTTGTAGTAAGAGCTGTCACTGAGGGTAGGATCTGAGGTTCAACAGCCCACATTACTGTACCCAGTTATCTTTGTCCCATGGTTGTGCATCACATGTAAGCTCTCACCTACTGCTCAACTGTCATGCCTGCCCACTTACTGGCATACAGGTCACTGACTCACTTTATGAAAATGTGAAGTTTCAGTAATCTCTTTCTTCTATAAGTTGCCTTGGTCAAGTGTCTTGTCACAGTAATTGAAAAGTAATTAAAACAAATGCCAGGAAATTCTACCTTCTGGTCACAACATGCTGTTGTAACAGAACCAATAACATTCTGAAAATCATTAAGTCTTGTCTAAAATCTGCATTTCACTATACTGGAAAATTTACAAGAAATGGATGCACTAAGATGCATATGACCTACCAAAAATTAAACACAGATGGGAAGTAGTAATTTAGAGCATTTCAACTAAAAATGTTCAGATCCTGATGGATTCATTGATGAATTTTAACAGGCCCTCAAAGAAAAATTAATACATCAAATGCTTCTCAAATTATCCCATAAAATAGAAAAGGAGGGAACATTACTAAGCCTTTTAAATGGTCCAATAACAAAACCAGATTAAAGACACAACAAAAAAGGCCAATCTTCCTTACTGACACAAAAATTCTTAATATTTACAAAACAAATTCAACAGCACCTCAAAAAAAAAAAATTCACCACAATCAAGTTGGCTTTATTCCAGATATAGGGACAGGCATGGGTGTGTGTGTGTGTGTGTGTGTGTGTGTGTGTGTTTAGAAATTACATGAATGGGCTCAAAGACAGAATAATATGACCATCTTCATAAATGCAAAAAACCGGCTTTGGACAAAATTTAACATCCCTTTATGTTAAAAATCCTGAAGAAATTCAGAATAAAAGGATCATATGGCCACATAAAGGCTATATATATAGCAAACCTACAGGCACATCATTTTTATAGGAGAACTCAGCATTTCCACTAATATGAACTCAAGAAGGATCTGCACTCTCAACTCTACTCAAAATAGCATTGAAAAGGCTTATCTACAGCAATAAGGGTGCTGAGTTAGAAATATAAACAGCAATGTGAAAGTTTAAGTCTATTTTTTGCTAAAAATCTTTGCCTCTCTTGGCCCTATAAATTACCTTGGAAGAGTAGAAGTTTAAGAGAGAGGCATCAATAGCACCCTATCCCCAGATAGGAACAATTACTGGTGAGGCCAAGGCCAAACTAAAGAAGTAATCGTCTTTGAATGATTTTTTTGGGCCACCTCCAGGACCTTATGCCTAAATCATGCTCTTTGCCTGAACTATTCTCAATCCAGAGCTCATGTCAACACAATAAAAGCAGGACAAGTATGGGTCACTAGATCACTGCTTGTTCATGTCTCCTATGCAGCCACACTGAATAAATCCAATCTGTTCTCATCAATGCTCAGTTCTTTAACTGGGGTGTCTCAATGAGGACTGACCTCACCTTTGAAGTTACTAGAGCTAGGACTTCTGACCTAAAAAACGTGGCTAAATATCTTGTATATACTGTGATTATTGATCTCAAAAATAAGAGAAAAATAAGAGGCAGGCCACTGGATAATGCTGTGTAATGATGTGATTCGTTTATTTAAAATGATTTTCCTCCCAAGTAGCCCAATGATGTAGGAGGGTTCTTTTACTTTCAAACAATCAACACACTTTCAGTATTTTATTTTAACCATGTATGCTATTTTAACATGATATTAATACCAGAATCCAATATGTTGAGGAGTAAGACAGATTTAAATTAGACCCTTGGCAGCTATGGTGTCACTCTCAGATCCTAAGGATTTTGGTGATGATGGATGCTCCTTCAGGCCCTGTCTCCAATCTGATACAAGACTTAAGCACTGCACACCTCCACTCAAGCCTTCTTTGTTGTCTTCAAAAGATAAAATTAAATGTATTTTTGTCTATATGTAAATCCACGAGACTACTCCCCATAATTACCATTTACTTTCTTTTGTTTATGTTCTCTAAAGAACAAAACCTGGTCTTACTGTGTGGCCCAGACAGGCTTCAAAGTCACTCTGAAAGCACAGACGCCTCAGGTGTGTAGTATTCCTCCTGCATCAGCCTCTCACGTGCTGATCACAGGTGTCAGCCATCACATAAGGCTTACTTTCACTTTCATTTTCATTTATTTCATTTTCATAGGTTTTTTTTCCTTATTTTCTTCCATTCTTTAAATTTCATCTGCATTTGCTACTTCTTTACTTAAAAAGCATAACTTTCCACACTCAAATAAAAATAAGCCCAAACCCAAATATTCTTAATCTAATGCATCTGAGTTAATAGATAAGACAGGTTTCCTTAAATTTTCATTTATCCCTACCTTTGAAAGTCAACCATAGTCACACCTGAAAAGTAAATGAATTTAAAAGGACAAAATATACATTTCAAAGACAACAAATGCAATGATCAAGACAATCTACTGTACAATTTGTCAAAGTCAACAGAAGACAGCATGAAAATAATCTCTTTAAATATATCAGTAAAAACAATCTTCTAAATAATAAGATCATTAAGGAATACGTATTTTCAGATATCTGTACATCAAGCTTTAAGAAAAAAATAAAGAGATGTGGGTGACAGAATGGAAAATAAATGAAAACTCTTCCAGAGAAGACTATGTGGGTATCAGAAATTCAAGAACACATTTTTTTTTTTCCAAAGGAAAAAAAAGGAATTCTTAAACAAATTGTTAAACAGAACAAGAGAGTATGTTGGTCTAGGGATATACCTCATTTGTAGAGTGCTTGGCTAGCATGCAAGAGGTCCTGGTCCTGGGTTTAACCCCCAGTACCACCTCAGGGAGTGGGAGGTGTCATTTTCCTTTCTTGGACAGGATAGCGCATTTCTTAATAATAGTTTACTAATTACATTAAGAAAAATTTACAGGCCCATTCCACAAGAGTCAAATGAATTCTTTCCATAACACTGTTACTCACATTATTAAAACGTTATCAATTATTTGGGTCAATTTCATGATTAAACTGTTTTAACTGATCATCTGAGCGGAATTATTGGACCTGAGTTATAAACTATTTGAATCATCATGATTGTATTTCCTTATGAGAATCTGAGCGGCTGCTCTGACAGTGATGTGGTAGGAATAAGTGAGACACTTGAAATCTTCCCTTCTGTGTGATGCTAAGTAGTAAGCAGGTCACATCTCACAGCTTCTCAACAAGGAATAACTGTGCAGGCTTTACTAGGAAGAAAGAGCTAGTAACAACATGCACTGCCTATTGTATCACTGATGCCTTACATAAAGAATGTAGTATTAAGCAAAAAAGTGAAAATCATTATTTTACCAAAGAAATAAAATACAGAATGAAGGCAAATGACCTTGGTATGGGTCCCAGAGCTCCCACTCTGATTCTGAAGGAAATTTTAATACAAAGGCATGTACATACAACTTCCATGACTATTTTTATATTAGAAAGACTCCGAGCAGATGAGGCCAGAGTGGCCTACCTTGTCAAAGATTAATATCCACTTTGAAAAGCAATCCTAAATATACTACCACTTAAAATTCTACTGTTAAGATAACCTCATTATCTTTAAATACTGAGAACACAAAGGGCAAACACAAACTAGATGTGTCAAGTAGCCACTTCCTACTTTAACATTCACTAGCTGTGCTCTTAAAGTCTCTATGAGAGAAGCAGGAATTTTCCCCATGCCTTTTGGCAATAGATTCAAAAGCTTAACTTTCAGGTATGTAAAATTTCATGAAGTCTGTGGTTTTTAAATCTAAATTATTCAATATCTTGAGTTAGTATTGCACTCATTTGTTGCCCGGAATATGTCTAGAACAAAAGTAAGTAAGTAGGTCTACAAGCATTTGCTTTCCTTATTAGATAAGCAAGCTCGAATAACGGAAATGCAAACTGCAATTTAAATAAGCCTATATATGTGTGACAATGTATCAACCTTTATAGAATGAAATTCAAACACCAATACTACAAATCCATGAAGAACCAGAAAGAGTACTGTATACAAAGTTCTTACTATTGACCCATTCCACTTTGAGATCAAAACAGTAATTCTTCAAGATTTAAGAAAAATAGATTTTAAGAAAGAGACTCTTTTAAATCACTGAATACATCATTTCTGTCTTTAAGAGAAATAACTTATGCTTTTTTTCTGCAATAATTCATTCTAGTGAAGTAATTCTCTAACTCCTAATTAACACTACATTTACAAGAGTAAGGACGTTTATCAGTAGGCATTCTTCCTTGCTTTAAGTTATTTGTCTCTAAAATATGTCAAGTAAGCCTTTAAAGACTCTGGGAGTGGCAACTTCATTATCTTTTCCCTCAGTAGGTTCTGAGGTGGCTCCTCACGCTTCATGGCTTCGCTGTGATCTTTCTCTTCTTCTTCTTTGCTGTCTTCTTCCATTTTTTCATCCTCTTCGCTATCTAGAGGCTGAGGGATAAGCTGATTACCCACAAATACGTAAGTGTTAATTCTCTGTTTAACTCTCTTTCTTTTCCTTTTGGGTGGAGCCCTTTGTGGAATCCCCTTGGCCTGCATCTCATCATTGATGAAGTTTCTAAGTGTACGCCGAATGTAAATACGAGCCAAGTCTTGGAGATTCCTCACAGCACACGGGGCTACAAACAAACACAAACATGTAACCATTATGCACTGTACATTTCTTCACAAACTTTAGAAAATATCAAACTATAAAAAACTGCTTTGAGAATGCTTAATACATAATGACTTAATGCACACTGAGCATGGAAGCCAAAATGAGGCAAATGTCTGTGTTGCTATCTATATGCACCCATAGTCTCTGGAAGAATAAATAATTTACAAACAGGAGAAAGACAAAATGCTAAGTTCATGTTACTCTGCTTCTCATTTAATTTTTGTTTGTTTAAGTGATATGAAGATTCTGGGGGAGGAGGCGCAGTGTTGATCACAACCATTTGGAACTCCAGTTCCAAAGGATCTAATGCCCACTTGTGGCCTCTGAGGGAGCAGGTATGCACATGTGCATGTATACACGCAGGCAAAACAGTCACACAAGTAAATTAAAATAAATATAAACCCTTTTCTTAAGAAAATGAATAAATTATATGGAAACAAATACTTATGAAAATAAGTCAATGAAACATTTCAATAGCTGCCTGAACTCTGAAGTTGCTGGGGATGCTCACTCATCTTCCGTCCCCACTTTAATTATTTCTATTGAAAATGCATTTCAGGGGGACGATGGATTTTTTTTAGTTTGGCCAATAGCTGTCTGTCTTATTTACATTTCTATTTTTGTGACAGGGAATGGAAACTGATAACAGTGTCCATGCTAATTATCAGTTATGTTAGCATGTAATCATACTTATAGCTGTCTTTAAGACACATAAAAACTAACCTAAGGGAAGAGTCAGATAAAGAAGAATGTGAAACTTTCTGGAGTAAAGTGCTTCCATGGCTGCTGCACAAAACTGCAGAGCCTAACAGAAAGAAGTGTGCTTATACACAAAGCACCTGCCGTGTAAGAACAACAGCATGGGCAGCAGGTGCCACAGAGGGTTTTATTACTTTCCATTGGGCTATAAGAAACTAAAGTATCAAAAATAGCCACAGTTCTGTTTGAAAAAGGGGAGGAAAATGGACTTATATTGTTATTTCTTTCTGTTATCTAGTACTTTAAGCAGGCCCAGAAGCACAGAATGACATGGGTATGCAAACAACTGTAAAGCATGTACAAGAAACGATTCTCCTTTGAGTCAGGTGCCAGACACCCAGCACATATTCCTGTTTTTAGTAATCTAGAAGGACATGAATGCTGCAGCCCAATAATTTCAAATTTTTATCAGAATGTGTTGCCTTTTTGTAGGCACTTAGAGCTGTGAGTTTTCCTCTTAGTACTTCTTTCATTGTGTCCTACAAGTTTTGGTATGATGTGTCTTCATTTTCATTAAATTCTAAAAAGTCTTTAATTTCTTTATTTCTTCCCTGACCAAGTTATCATTGAGTAAAGCATTGTTCAGTTTGCATGTGTATGTGGGTTTTCTGTTGTTTCTGTTGCTAGTGAAGAAGGCCAGCCTTAGTACGTGGTGATCTGATAGGATGCAAGGGATTATTTCAATAATCCCTTTTCTTGAGGTCTGTTTTGTGACCAATTACATGGTCAGTTTTGGAGAAGGTACCATGAAGTGCTGAAAAGAAGGTATATTCTTTTGTTTTTGGATGAAACATTTTACAAATATCTGCTAAAATCCATTTGTTTTATAACTTCTCTTAGTTCCACTGTATCCCAGTTTAGTTTCTTTTTCCATGATCTGTCCACTGCTGAGAGTGGGGTGTTGAAGTCTCTCACTATTATTGTGTGAGGTGCAATGTGTGTTTTAAACTTTAGTAAAGTTTCTTTTATGAATGTGGGTGCCCTTGCATTTGGTACATAGATGAGTCTCCTTTTATTCTTTAACTGTTCTTATTTTTTGTTTTCCTGTTGTATGTGGATATTTTTATATGGCTTCTCTCTTATACTTTTTGTCATTACCAAAAGTATACAGTCAAAAAGCATTTTTAAAAGGCTGGTTAAGAATTGTTTCTAAATAATGAAAATTTCAAAAATTTTCAGAACTGAGATCTTAATCTCTTTCTAAATGAGATGATAATAGAAACACAAAGTCAAAATGGAAGAACTTTATAAATCCTTAAAAGTAGTCACTATTGTCTCCCTCCAGGGTGAAGAGACCTTCAGGCCAATGACACAACCAGAGAATGATACTTATCAAAGGTCCCAAAGGTCTCAGAGTCCTTGCTCTTAGTTTCCCCAGGAAGAGAATAGCTTGTGGTTTGTGTACGTAAAAAAAACTTTGGCTACCTATGCCTCTAGTGCTGTCATAAAACTCATACACAACAGCTAGGTTCTGCTCACTCATGCCTCCTGTAACTGGGTGGACAAGTCTAACAGAACTATGCAAATCTAAGCTCCTTCCCTGTCATTGACCCTGCTGGGTAAAGTAAGATGCTGACACAGCAACCATTAAGGTATCTGACCTCTCCATCCCTCAAATGATTAAACAGACAGGACTTCTTTCCTACCACTCATAGACTAGATGCTCTTCCACCATGAGGAGGAACCAAACTGAAGTCATTTTGAGAACCTTCCATTTTGAACAAGGGTCAAATAAAGGCTAAGTTCCCAAGACCTCACTAGGTAACTGACATCCTGTTTGGCAGAGAGAGACATGTATGTGAGTAATTGACATCCTGAACGGCAGGCTGAGACATGAGTGCTAGGCAAGTTGCCCCACCAGTTAAATAAACCAGCCAATGAGAACAGGGTAAGTGTACCACATAGAGAATGTCTTTAGGAAAGTTTCCTTTCCCTGGATTCTGATTGGTAGAAAAATGTAACTGTAACTTGGCACAGATGTTTGTGGTTTTCAGGATTAAAAGTTCTATAACATTCTGGCTGAGGGGCTGGTGTAAGAGTTGCAGTTCAGCTCACAGGTATGTTCTACATCCCTGATTGATCAGTAGAAGCTTGTTTACAATAAAATGATGTTTTCTGTACTGAGTTGGTGTCTGAGTTGTGCTAGATCTAAGTGTACTCTTTAACACCACAGTTACTTCCTACCACATTACAAACTAGTAAGCTCACAGTTAGTATGATCCATTTTTAAGTTTCCTGGAAAGAAGATCCAGTACCCCATACAACATAAAGACTTGACTTTTTTTCTAAATTAAGAAGAATCAACCTATTCATTGCATTACTGCCATATTCAAATTTGTTATAAACATATATATGATCTACTAAATGCCATCAGTGACAACTCAAAGTTCAAAGATCTACTTACGGAGCCCCACAGAGTCCGGTGTGCCATTATCATTCTTACTAGGTTGTACTAGTGGTGCAAAGGAAACAGCAAGGATATTTTTACTTTCCCAAGTGTTTTGTCCAGTTCGCATAATCTGTGTCAACTATTTGGAGTGAAACAAGAAAGAAGCAACTCAATTACTTTAATGTCAAACTTTTACAAAAATAATTGCCAATGAGAAGCTAACATTTAAATGCAACCAAGATATTTCTACTTAAGTATGTATTATAGCACAAGAAATCTATCACCTACTTCACAGGAAATGCATGCCTGCTACTGTAAGTCTGAGCTTACAGAGCCCATGGGAGAGCCTACTACTGTTATCTGACTAAACAGACACAGTAATGAACTGTCCAGCATAAGTAACGCTCTCAGTCCTTGGCAGAGACTCACAATTTGTCAAACTCCAGAGAGTAAGTGTTTGTGGAGTCATACAGTGCCCCATAAAGCATATCTATATCACACCTTCCCAAAGCTCAGGGAACATCCCAAAAAGAGGACAGAAAAATTCTAAGAGCCAGAGGTCATATAGCATTGCTATAAAATGGTACGTTCTCTACATGACAAGACCCTGGCACTTGTGGGCTCACAGCAGTTGATGATCAAAATTTCAGCATTTCCAGGAAAGCCTCATAAGGCCCCACCCATAGCTGAGGTTCTACTGATAGATGCTGGCTGCTAGAAAAAGGAAAGTCAGTTTCCTTTAGGGATGGAGTCCTTATTAGGTTGATCATTCTCCAGTGAATCGTGCTACACACACATATATAAGAACAATACTAACTGAACTCCTGAGGTACTTGAAAAAAAGACATGAGGTTGGGAGGGAGTAATTGGGAGGAGAATCTGCATTGGAGAGGGGGTAATTAGAGGCTGAATATGATCAAAATATATTGTTGTTTATATGAAATTCACAATGAAAAAATTTATGTCTATATGCCACTTAAGATGAACTTTCAAAAAGGATTTATACACGTGTTGTCTGGGAAGGACCTCATTGAGTGTGTGCACTTGCACACACGTGGAAACCAAAAATGAAAGCTCGAGTTACAGGCATTTGCATGACAGGACAACCAGCTTATCACCTGAGTCTAGGATCTATCTCTTATCCTATGACTGCACAAAAAGCATTCTTAACAAGTGAGCCATGTGTCTAGTTCCTAGATGAATGTTTCAGTACAAAAGGAATACCTAAATATGGCCAGGCTGAATCTCTATGTTACCCAACTTCCACAAGTACCTCTACAGATCTGTACACAAGGCTGGCTCCCCAAATCAATGTCTGAAATAGGTTCAGTCTTTTGGTTAGAGTATGTTAAGAAGATTATACCAGTGAACTCAGTTTATGCTCTTCTATAGCAGGGATAAGAGAGTCTAATTCTAACCTTAATTTCATACCACAAATAGAGCCAGAGAGATGGTTCCCTGATAAGGATGCTTGTTGTCAAACATGTTACCTGGGTTTCATCCCTGAGACTCATATACCAAAAGAAAAAACAACTTCCAAATGTGTTCTGTGGCATGCCCCCATACACCCACACATAAATAAATAGACTAGTTTATTTAAAGCATTAGTTTAATGCTTTAAATAATCACAAGAAGAAGTTTTAATTCAGCAAACATCTCTAACTTTAGAATGTCTATAAACCTAGCATGTATACACTAAGACAGCAATGTCCTTCACTGCAGGCTAGCTTGAGTTATATAACAAGATCCTCATCAACAAAAAACATATCTTCAAACACATCATTAAAGGAAACCAAATAAGTCAGTAATTTTAAGTGTAAACTTCAGAAATGTTCAAGTAAATCAAGGAAAGTACATGTAACTGTGTCCACTTGTTAAAAACAGTATACATTGGGCTCTCATCTCCACACCTTCACAGTGAGCCAGGCCTGCCCATTTTTCCTGTGAACATGTGTGTTGCCAGAGAGAATTCATAGCCTTACCTGAGAGTCAAGCCCTCTATAACCCAAACACATCCCTGGTCCTTCTACAAAGAATTTTAGTAGAAGTACATTTCTAATGATTTTTAGCATTCTTATTTACTGAGCCAATCTTTTCAGCTCCTCAATGAAGCTGTTATGAAGCTAAGCACTTGAAGCTGGTCACAAACCAGACTTAACAGGTTACAGGTAGAGGTTATGCATTCAATTGCATACTTTCCACATGAGGAACTTCACTGACTGGGTGACGCTGAGTACTCAAGTTAGCTTTAGTTTCCCATCATACATCCTCTCTACATCTGCTTTGCTTAAAATATTTAAGGATCTCTTCCAAGCTTCTTTCTATGTACACACATAAACAGACCTGTAAAGACCTGTTTCTTCTTTTAAAGTTATAATCTATCTTTCCCTGTCACAAAGTCCTAATTCCCAATGTTACAACTGTCTTGTGACAAATAAATGAAGGTACCTGATCCTCTATAGGCATGACCAATATGCCCCCAACTTTGAGTAAGATCTTCATGTAGTTTTCATGGTCTTTCTGGACTCCAGCTCCACAGTAAATTCGATCATACTGATGACTGTCAGAAGCTATCTGAAGGCAATTACCCACCACAAATGCGGGTTCACAAAATTCAAATCTGTGTGGGAAAACAAACATTTTAATTTAAATAAAACATTAATTCTTTGACAAACCCCCATAACCCTGGCATTGAAAGGCAATGCTACCAAAATTAATTTTAAGGATAAAATACAATTAGAAAATCTCATTTTAAAATATGTGTGAAATTTAACACTGATTAAGTATATTGTATGTTATATATGATACAGCATACAAAGCATTAACCTATTTTGGGCCATACAAAACTTAAGTACTTAAGGCATAGAAGTGAATATAATGAAAGTCCATCAAACCACAGTCTTGAGATGCCCCCAAAATGAAGTTTGAGGATGCAAGTCAACAACAGGAAAAAGCTTCTTCCACCTTTCTTTTCAGATACTTAGGCCAACAGAAAGGAGAAGGCCTCATTCAAGGACTCCACTCCGCTTGCCACTGTTGCTGACAGAAATAGCAGCACAGCTTTGGCCAAGAGATACCAATCTACTGGCCATCACCCTTGCAACCACCAATAGGGTGGCTTTCCTAAAACTCATGGCCAGGTAACTAACAAGACTGGGACAGAAATCAAATGAGTGATGCTTTTTTAATTTCAGATTTGGCCCCTATGATTTTCTTAAGTGACACAAAAGGAGATGTGGTTTCAAGGTTCATCAAACCAAGTTATAATGCTGGCTCTTGGTAATATTATACATCAACAAACTACTCTATATAGACTTCAATGGTATTTCTTAAATTCTGTCAATAAAGTGAAAAACAGACTATTATACAAACTAAAATTGAAACCTCAATGCAAACGCAATTCTTTTCACCCCTTAGACCAAAACTCAAGCTGGGCTCAAACTCCTTGAAGTCCTCCTGCTTCAGCCCCTTAAATGCTTGAATTATAGCGTGAGTCACCATTCCCAATCTTTTAAAACTAATTCTTAATCTTCTGATAGTAATAAAATCATACAGCAGGATTAAACCACTATTTACAAATGAAATAATTGACAGTAAAAGCTTGGCATATACTGAAGGATGACCAATTGATTTCAATCAGAATCAATTTTACTTTAGAAAACATATCCTTTGATAATTAATAGTGAACTTACAACATATAGTTCTCATTAAAAATCACTAAAGCTTAGATACATCAATGGACATACATTTAAGGAGTGTACTAGTCCTGTGCCCTGTCCTTCATTCCTTACTGTCTTTGTAGATGGGCAAGGGTTGAAAGAGCTAGGAGGCAGACTTAAGAACAGTACACACTGTACTCTCATCTCCACGTTCACAGTGAGCCAGGCATGCTGATTAACTGTTTAACTGTAAACCCCATCTCACTGCTTATATTTTTCAGAATTTTCTTCCATCATTTTGGTTTCATGCAGAGAATAAGGGGATACAATGTTCTACATGTACTGTGATTGTTGTCTCCTTCAAAGAAACCGTGCTGTAATTTGCCCACAGGTATGGCAATGTTGAAAGGTACTGACATCTTTAAGAAGGAAGCACTAGTAGGAGGTAACAAATTCATGAGAAAACCACCTCAAAGGGATTAAATGAGGGATCACATGTCAAAGGGGTGGAATAGGACTCACAGAGTAAAACAGTTGTTACAAAGCAAGATCACCTCAAAACCATTATATAGTATTCCCTAATATGTTCTCATCATGAGATGCTGTCTGTCTGTCATGTCCAGATGTATCAGAAGGTCCCACCAGGCAGCTTGTGTTCTGTTCCGACAATACAAACTGACTTCCAAGTACTACTATAAGCAGTGTACACTTCTCTGAAGCTAGGCTGAATTACTTCTCTCTGATTTCATGTGAGAACCATCAAGAGTTATTCCTGTGTCTGTGTGTCCTGTCCCTTTGCCCTGAATGCCCCTCACTGGCCATCTTTAACTGATGAATGCCTACTATACTTTCAAGTTACAGTTAAGATATCAGCTTCACAATGAAATCTCAGTTTTTAAAAGTTTTAGGTTACCCACATTAGGAATATTTAATTAGTTTCTCTCAGACATAAAACTATACAGCCCAACCTCTAATTGTTTAAAATGGGGTCAAAATGAAATTTCTTTTTAGATTTATGTATCTTATTACTGTAAGTATATAAGTGTTTTGTCTGTATGTATGATATGTACCACATGCACGCCTGGTACCTACAAAGGCTAAAGAGGACATTTGCATAACCTAGAACTAGAGTTATAGATGGTTTTGGGCCATGATGCAAGCGCAGGGACTCAAATGTGGGCCCTCTGCAAGACCAACAGATTCCCTTGACCAGTGACTCATTGCTCCAGCCCCAAAATGTAATTTTTTGACTTTAAGTAATCATGCTGTGAATCACATGGTTTAATTTTTGTCTAATTTATGTTTCTTGCTCTTTTTAAAGTTATTTTCAGAAAGTTCTATCTGAAAATCTTCATCCTTTCATTCACATGCATAGAATCTTTTAAAAATTCAAAGGACTTTGAATTATTAAAGTTCTTTTTATAAATCTATTAAATAGCTAAAATGCAGGGCAGCTCAGAGAACTAATAGCTAAGAAAACACTATTATAAGTGAGCAACTCATAATTACAACCACAGAGCATTATTCAAGAATTTTGTGCCTGGTTTTAAAAATGTATGCCTCTGCACAAGTTCCTCCAAAAGCAGTTACTGTTGGTCTAGTCAGGCACATACGGTCTAACTTCAGCTATGGGAACTCACTCCAAACACAGCAAACGGACAAGACAATTCTACTCTTGGAAGTATAATTTACAATTGTGATAAGTGCGTTAGCATTTAAAGGGAAAGAATATGACTCCTTAAGAATGAAGGTGAAAGAAACACACAGACCTGGAAATCAGAGGCTTCCATGAAATTATTAAAATCTTTGATCTGAAAGGTCTAGAGCCAGATTATCCAAATGACAGTCATTTACCAGACACTGACCCCTTAAAATGTAGCTAGCACAATGTGAGTTGGACTGCATATAAAATTCACATAAATTTTCAAAAACTTTGTACAAAAACATAAGCTATGTAAATAATACTTTTTTTATTACATACCAGTGCTTAATGTTTACAAAGGATGAAATATTACACAACTGGCCATCTGCTTTTCTCAGGCAGACAGGTGGTACAAGAATTTTCTCCTTAAAATACTGTTTTCTCTATGGAATGTTTTCCTGCTTTTTGGTTTTTTTTTTGTTTGTTTGGTTGGTTGGTTTTTGTCATCTGTTAGTATATCTAAATTTAAATGCATCTCTATCACCTATTAAAACCCCTGCCCCCAAATACATTAATTCAATTAAGGAAAACATGTAAGAAATACATATGCTTTATATTATTACTTTTTCTAACTACCAACTTTGAATAAGAACTCAAATTATTATAAAGTAAATATGATGATCATAAAACTTAAGATCTAAAGAGAAACTTGCCTAGAAATAAAGTTACAGTGAATGTATGTACCCACTGCAGCCTACAGAGATGTTGTAATTCAGACCATGATGCTGGTTGAAAAAGGCCCATTGCACTCAAAAATGATATAGTGGTTCACCGATCATGATGCTGGTTGATAACTGCAACATTATACATATATTGTTTCAACATGCGAAAAAAATCAAATAACTCTTGGCTTTAATGTCATATAACTGAATATCTATAAGCATGCTCATTATTCTAGTAATAACCTGAATTTTCTCCCTTCTAATCAAGATATCAAGAAGTCTATTTACTTAGATGTGTGGATAAACACAATTTTGGAAGAAAATTCCAATCTCCAATGTCCACTAACATAAATGAAATAGACTTCTAATTTACTTACTATACTTTAACACACTAACTTCCTTAAAGAGAACACTTACATTTAAGAGCCTACTAGAATTAGAAAACATGGTAAGATGGCTCAGAGGGTAAAAGCACCTGCTGACAAGGTTCAGGCCTTTGTGCCACATGGTGGAAGATTAAAACTGACTCCTCCAAGTTGCTCTTGCAACTCCAAGTCCATGGCCCTCCCACAACAAAATTTTAAAAAGGAATTTTAAATCTCAAAAGTACTGTACTATTTCTATTGATAAAAATTGAGACCTATCTAAAACTGCGAGAAAATGTTGGCAATAAAAACATATAGAAAATAATTTGTAAGCCAAATATACAAGTCACCACCAGAAAACAGTGTTAAATAAGAAAACCAGAAAAGAAATATGTCTCCCCAAAGTATCTGCCATTCAACCATTATTTATTATACTTAAATATTATATGTAATATTTGCTATCTGTAATAAATTTTTTACGAAGAAAAAAGTTAAGAAAAAAACCTAAAGTTGTATATTGTTAATATTTTAAAGTCTTACATATAGACAGAGATTAACTTTTTGAACAAAAGTTAACCTCCAGTTGCTTCTGCATAACATACAGTGGAGAATCTGACCCACCTCAGTAATATCACAATTCCTTTACAACTGCATTCATGAAATAAACTCACACTATTCAGCTGGACAATGACAGAGATTCCACTGCTGACCTTTTCCTCAAAAATCTTGTAAATTAAAATGCACTCCTATTAAATGTTGGCACATGTTTATGGGTATGCTCATCAATATGCATGACAAATAACTAAATAATCAAGACACAGATGGTGGCTATTAGCAGTGCTGTGTTATTAACCCAGAACAACTCCTACTGATTCTTCCATGGAGAGTAGAAACAAATAATTCTTAGTTGTTGACTATTCCAAAAGCTGTACGACACCTAAATTTCTTAAAATGTACAGAGGCAAAGCACACTTTAAACCTTAACAACAATTTCTGTATAATCTAGAAGATTTAAGCAATAATTGATCCAGAACCTCTGTGCATAAAATAGCACTATGGGTACTGATAAATTATACATGTAGTTCTGGTTACAATATAGAGAAAGGGGGAATCCAAATTCCATCTTTTCATAGAAAGGACACATCAGATGAAACCTGAGAAATGTAACAAATTTACCAAAATGATAGACAAATATATGTGGTTATATTTTTAAGAATGGCTCAGGTGTTCTC